GGGTCCAGCTAGCACGACACATCACAGGGTGATTGTAAGTGCGAATGTGAAATAAAATTCGCTATATCAAATACGGCGTGAACTTATTTGTCGCGTTATACACCCAATACGTGACAATATCATCCAAAATACATATATATCACCCTTGAGAGAAACAATACATGAGGTACCATAGGGGTCAATTCTGGGACCACTACTGTTTCCTCTGTATATAAATGATCTCCCGCTAAATGTACAAGGTGCGGAAATGGTATTGTTTGCAGACGATATTAATGTGCTTGTTATGGATAAAGATAAAGGTGTAGCTGAACACAAAATAAATAAGATCATGAATCAGCTTGAAACATGGTTTAAGGTAAATAATCTTTTAATAAATATTAAAAAAACAGCTGCTATGTCATTCCATCTTAGTAAAAATAGGTTTGTAGTTAGACCGCAGATTGTAACTTGGAAATTGCTTACTCATCAGAACTGAGATTTTTAGGCATAGATATTATAGAAAACCTTAAATGGAATACCCACATCCAGTCATTATGTTCAAAACTTAGTAAAACATCCTATATAATTAAATCCCTAAGAGGAGTTTTGAGTCCAAATATGTTAGGAAGCATTTACTTTGGAACATTTCAATCGTTATTGATATGGAATACTATTTTGAGGGGGTGAAGGTGATAGTATAAAGGTATTTAAAATGCAGAAGAGGGTGTTGCGAATAATTAGTGGACTTGCTAAACAAGAGTCATGCAGGTAAATTTTTAAAGATTATGGCATCCTCACAGTCACATCTTTTTATATCTTAGAGGTGTTATGTTACATAAAAAAGCACAAAGCAGATTTGATCCAAATTATAAATATTCATAGTTATAATACAAGAATAAACAAAGATTTTCATGTTCAACTCCGCAGAACTACATTATTTAAAAAAAGTGTGGTAAATATGGGGATAGAATTGTATAGTAAGGTCCCAAACAAAATAAAAAACTCAGTGGGTTTCTCAGCTTTTAAAAAAGACTTAAAATCCTTTTTATTGAAACATTCTTTTTATACGTTAAATGAATTTGTTAGTTTTAACCTTTAAACGCCGGACGTCGAAATAGTGGTAAGCTTGAGCTGGCCGGAGTTTATTTAAATGCCCGCTGCTGGTGTTCGTTTAAATGCCCGTTGCTACTCTGTGTTTAAATGTCCGTTCCTGTTAGGTGCTTAACCCCTTGAGCGTGACTTTTAGCAGAGCCATTTAAATCCCTAAGCGTGTGTGACGCACTGTCTGTGGCCACTCAAAGCCGTGCTGTAAGCGTGCGTGCCGCATATATTGCGTCCAAACTTTTCACTAAGAATTCTTAACGCCTACGCTCTGATGTGTGTACTTCCAGTGAATGTATATGTCGGCTAACACTGACTTCTTTCATTCCTCGCTATCTGTTTGTGTGTGGTATTTTTTTTACTCGCTTTGCTTGGGACAAAGCATCTGGTGTCTTCTGCTTACGAAAGAATTGTTCCAACTCACACTCCGAGTTGCTTACAGAGAGATAATTTGTTAGCTAACTTTCACTGAGTGCTTGTTATCTGTGTGTGTATTTCTTTTTACTGGCTTGGCTTACAGGCAACAAAGAAGCTGTGTCTGATTTACGATGTTACGAACCTCGGGGTCGAAGTTGCCTGATGCCTGTGTCAACATTTATGAATCTGTTACTCCTTTTCTGCTTTGCGACACCCTCTTATCGGAGCCCCATGGCATTTAGTCACGTAACTTGTCTGGCGGGACAGTTTCTTGCCCCGACGCTAATAAAATAGCGCTTTCAAAAGTGGGTTCATATAACTTCGAATGAAATTAGGATATGCCTAGGTTTCCTTATGCTGATGGGAATAATTCAGAAACCAAACCTCAGGATGTATTTTAGTAGGAAACATATGTTAGAAACACCATTTTTTCCCAATGTAATGAGTGAAGAAAGGTTTTCATTGGTGACCAGATTTCTCCATTTTGTAGATAACACCAATAAGGAAATTGCAAAAAGAGATCCTAAATTGTACAAAATTCTTCCGGTAAGTGAATATTTGAAAAATAAGTTCCAGAAAGTGTACATACGGGGCAAAGAAGTAAGTGTCGATGAATCTTTGTTATTGTGGAAAGATAGACTTTCGTGGAAACAGTATATTCCTATGAAAGCTTCCCGGTTTGGGATTAAAATTTTTGAACTT